AGCAGATATAAGACAGAACAGCTATCTAGGCTACAGCACAGTCTGGAAGCTGAGCTTAAATAAGCTACTGGGCCCATGGATGTGGGTGGAAGCCCCAGGCAGGGCTCATTAGGGCCATTAGTGCCCTCAGCTTTGCAATGGACACCCTTGGCCCTGAGGGTCCTCATGGCCAGTATGTCCCCACACAACTTCACAGCACCTGAACCGTACCTGCTCCTCCCCATCTAAGAGACGCTGCAGGGAAAGCCCCCTCTGTGTTAACACAGGAAGGAACAGAGTCTGTGCAGGTTCATAAGCACAAGAATTAGAAAAACACCAAGGAAGCACCCATCAGGTGCACCTGGATGGGTGTTTAGAAACTGTTACATGGCTGTATTTACCTCTGATCACTCTGAGAAAAAATGCTGTGTGCTGTTAGCAGAGAGTACCGTCATCTGCTCCCAGGGAGCTCCAAGGTGCTGCAGAAGACATTCCTTCCAGGTTTCTTTGTTATTTCCATTATTTACCATGGAGTCCCTTCCAGCCTTCATTATCTCCTGCTTCCCCTTCTGAGGTATCTGCATATTTTATTAGCGGGGCTTTTTCTACTTGCTTCCCGGTCTTTCCTAAAACCTCCTGAAAAATGAGGGGCTGGAGTGGGTGCGTAACTAAAGATCATGTGTGAAAAATGGGAAAGGAACAGAGCCCTTAGGAAGTCTTCCCTTCCACCCTCCCATCCACCCCAGGGGGATCAAATACTGGAAAGAGAGCTGGGAACTCCCCAGCCAGCCAAGACCTGCGCTGGGAGATCCCCAAGATCACGCAGTGATCTCCCCAGTACAGCAGTCTCCAAGCCTGGAGAGTGGCTGGTAGTACTGGTGTTCCCCTGGGTAAGGTGTGTTTGGGTGTCATTATTTCCACTAGACATTTTTGACAAGGATCTACACCTGGAAACCCCCTAAAAACACCTTTTGGGGCTTGCAGCTGATGGGCTTTGATGCAACAGTCCCTGTTTGCCTTCATCCTGTTGTCATCTAGGTGAGTTCAGCCTCTGGGCAGGTTGACCCCCTTTTGCCAAAGTCCACCTGGCAAGGTCCCCATGTGTCTCTCTGACCCTGGGGCACGGTGACCTGGTGACACTGACCCTCTCTGCTCCGCTCTCCTGCCAACGGGCTTTGGACCTGCCACATCAGGTCCTGCAGTCAGATTACCCCCGTGGCGATTCAGCAGTGACTGCTCACAGCTGGCCAGGAGGGTGAGGACCACCTGAAGCATGAGGGTTGGGGACCAGAGTGAGGGGCTTAGCATCCCAGTTCTGCCCATAGAGCTTGCCACCAGGTCATTTCCAACAGAACTAAACAGCAGCACAGTGTCCAAATAAGGAAGTGAAGTGATGGAGAGATACTCGTGACCACTGTACATTAATTTAATTTATTTGAAGAGGATTTGCCCTGGCAGGTTGTGCCCAGATGGAAACGGGAGATCACACTTCCCTTGGGTGATGCGTGGGGGTCTGGAGGAGCACCTAAGATCTCAGCAGGACTATTTTTAGGACCATGCACCTGTCCATAGCTTTTCAAAGCCTCATTAGGCATCTTTCCAAAAATACAAGAGCTCCTGTAGGGTTTGGGAAGAATATTTAGCAAATATTTAGCAAATATTAGCCTTATAGAAGTTAAATTTGAAGTGAGTGAAAACTGAAAGCGAAGGTCCTGAAAAGAGGATCATCTTGTGATGCTTACTGTCAAAGCTTTTAATGCAACAGTGGAAATGCACTTTCTTCTGTTTCCACTTTGCCCTTTTCTTACTGAAAAGAGCATCGTTCTGGGGCTGTTGGAGACTGCAGCTGCCGACCTCCAGACTGAGCTGCAGGCAGTGAGCATGGAGACCAGGCAGCACAGCAGGTCCAGTCTGTGGGGACCCAACACAGGGACACCAACCAGCCCAGCAAGTCCAAGGAGCTGGGGAGGAACCTGTGGAGACTGTGCTCCAAGGCTCCCTCAAGTAGGATGAAGCCCATGAGAAAAGATGCGTCAGGGGATGCTGGTGAAATCAATCTTGCACAAAGACTTAATTTCCCCTTCTTTTGGTCCAGCTGCGGGATGGATTCAAAGTTCACTGATGTTTATCCCATCACTTGAGCAGTATAGAATCACGGAATCACAGAATTGTCAGAGTTGGAAGGGACCTTCTAGAGATCCTCTAGTCCAACTCCCCTGCCAAAGCAGGGTTGCCCAGAGCACATCACTCACGAGCATCCAGGTGGGGCTTGAAGATCTCCAGAGAAGGGGACTCCACACCCTCCCTGGGCAGCCTCTTCCAGGGCTCTGCCACCCTCACCCCAAAGTGATATTTGAATGGAACTTTCTATGTTCCAGCTTGAGCCCGTTGCCCCTTGTCCTATCGCTGGAAACCACTGAAAAGAGTCCAGCTCCAACGTCCTTCAACTCACCCTTTAGATACTTATAAACAAGGTCTCCCCTCAGTCTTCGCTTGTCCGTGGATGAAAGGACATGGGGTATGGGTGACCATGCAGTGAGGCTGGGCAGCAATGCCTTTGCCTATACCCAGGGCCACGGTGTCCTATAGTCACTATATATCCTATAGTGGACAAATACAGTAACACCGAGCAACAGGCGAAGCCATCTGCCCTTCATTTTCATGACCAGCAGCAGGAATAGAAAACATCTGATTTCTTCTGCTTTGCTCTTTCATCCATTCTCCCAGGGCCAGAAGCAAGAACTGGGTTTGGAGGAAGAGAAACCAGGTGAAAACAGGCCCTGAAACCCACCGTGCATCCCGCTTCTGCACTAACAAACCCAGGGCAGTTTTTTTTTTCTCCCGGCAGAGAAGTTGTTGCAGAGCCACACATCAGAGACTGGGATTTGTTTCAGAGTCACACATCAAAGTCTGAGCTAGGTATTAAATTTCCTACGAAATTGATGGAATGAAATAAATACCATCAGAGGGAGATTAATGTCAGAGTAAGGCAGTGCCCAAGATAAGCAGCACATGGCGTCCTCCAAAGACACCTCTCACTTTCCGCTGCCTTTAGAAGGATCCGGGATGGTTGGTTTAGTCTAGACACCTGATTTAGGAACCTAGAGATAAATCCCATCCCCGGTGACTTTCCAGCCACATGACTGCTTTACCTGCCCATTGCTATCTTGTCGTGGGGATGAGATTATGACAGAGGAGATCAAGAAATGACACCAAGACACCTTCCATGCAGATTTCGAGTGGCAGCTCAGCGTCTCATCCCTGGTAGCACAGGCAGTGAATAAACTCCCTTCCTTGGGATGGCTGGAAAAATCTCTGCCAAGTGACTATCACATCGTTTCGCCTCTCAAACTTCCTGGCAGGTAGAAATTTAGACATTAGGAATAAGTTCTTTACTGTGAGGGTGGTGGAGCCCTGGAACAGGTTGCCCAGGGAGGTGGTTGAGGCCCCATCCCTGGAGATATTCAAGGTGAGGCTCGACGAGGCCCTGGGCAACCTGGTCTAGTTGGGGGTGTCCCTGCTGACTGCGGGGGGGTCGGACTAGATGGCCTTTGGAGGTCCCTTCCGACCCAGATGATTCTATGATTCTATAAAATGAGCAGTCCAGGGCTGCCTACAGGAAAGCAGGTTGCAGCTTGTCGGCTTCCCACACCCCAGTCCTGGAAGGACTCAGCAGCCGAGGCTAAATAAGCAAACCTGCCAAAATTCAGTTCCAGTTTGAGGCCTCCTTATCAGCAGGGTCTTTTTCACAAGCTCTTTCTGTTTGCCTTTCCCCTCTCTGAGTGGTATGTTTATCTGCAACCAGCAAACATCCTGAGACCTTATTTTCAGGACTTAGACCCTCAAACGCAACTTTGCTCTCGGAAATAGTTCATTTTTCCCCACCTTGGCTAAAGGGCTAAAGCTTTCTGCGTTCAGCAGGACTTCCATCCATCCTCAGCGTGCTTTGCTCTCCAGCACAAGTCCCCCAGGTCCATGCATGGCAGGAGAAGAAGGTGATGCAGGCAGACACCCCCAAGTAGTGTTGTCACAGCCTACGGGTGCGTCTTGAGCAGCTGACTCAAGGATAAGGCCAATGGTCATCACTCAGAAGGAAACTGTTGAATGAAAAGCTGACCAGACCAGACAGACAATAATAAAGAGGAGAAAAGCCTCCAATCTAAATATGGGATATTTGTCCTCAAAGACCATCAGAGGACAAAGTTTAGACAACACGTATCGGAAACCTATAGCTAGACTTTCCCCAGGAAGCACACAGCTAGGTCTGCCCTGTTTTTCAGGTCACAATAGTGGCCTGGAAGCCCAGAGGTGGTGCAGAGCTAGAAGATGTGCCCTTGAAAACGCCGTAACACTGAACCCATTGGGTTTTGGTCCCACTGCAACATGCAAATCACTTCCATAATGACATTACTGCCTCTCAGATCTTGGACAGACAAGAAGGGTGTGATGTGCCCTGCTCTGCCCCACACCTTTTTGGCAAAAAGACTTCACAAGACCCTAAATCACTCCGTCACCACCTCGGAGGGACTTTGGCCCTTTGCAGTCTTATAGTGCCTTCAGGAACCAAATCAGAGAGCTCAGGCATGGGGAAAAAAAATGCCCGGTTGGTGGGTCGAGGAGTTAGCAGGCTGTGGAGCACGACCAGCAAAATACCCCTCTTCTAAACCCTTTTCCAACGCCGTTTTTGGGGGATAACGGTGTTCACTGTCCGACCCATCGGCACCTCTCCCCATCCCCCTCCCGCCTGCCCCTTTAAGTAATTTGAGCCTCGGGGCTGCAAATCCCAGTCTCTAACTAAAAGAATGGAAAAGCAGTTTCCCCCCTTCCTTCCCCCTCTTTTCTTTTTAAAACAACCCTTTCTGCCCTTTTCCCCCTTCTGGTGGGAAGAGACGGTTCACCAAGGGACCCAGTGGCTTTCTGAGCACCGTCCTTCCCAGTATCGAGGCAAATTGGCAATTTCTCCACCCCTCGATGCTTCAGGCAGCTCTTTTTTTTTTTTTTTTTTTTCCTCCCTTCCTGCCGGTCTTTGGCAAACCTCAGCCCGTTTCCAAACCCTCTGTGGCTGCCAGGGGCGGTCGGTGCAAAGGTTTAATGATTTGCTTTTCCTTGGGCGTGAGGCGGGGATAAGGAGAAGGTTGGGCCCCATCGCCTGACGCTGCAAATCTTGCCCACTTTTGTTGTCTAGTCCATCTCCCACCCCCCCTCCTTTCTCCCCTGTCTCCCACACAAGCTCCCAGAGCCCACCATGAATCCGGTTTCGGGATACGTTTGCCTGCTTTGCTTTTCCTTCCTGAGCACAGCAAAAGGTAAGAGCTATGGGGTTGCTTCGTGGTCCGGGGGCACGATGGGGTCAGGACACCCCAAGAGGTGAAGCTGCTCATCCTGATGCACAAAGAGCCTTCCCGGGGGCTCGCTGTAATGCAACATCTCCCCAGTCTCCAGCTGGGGAGGGAAGAGCTATTGCCACAACCTCAAATGGCCTGAGCATCTCCCAAGGATACGGGGTTGCTTCGGGTCCGGGGGCACGACGGGGTCAGGACACCCCAAGAGGTGAAGCTGCTCATCCTGGTGCACAAAGAGCCTTCCCGGGGGCTCACTGTAATGCAACATCTCCCCAGTCTCCAGATGGGGAGGGAAGAGCTATTGCCACAACCTCAAATGGCCTGAGCATCTCCCAAGGGGGGGGAAATTTTGGGGGGACTAGGGAAGTCCTCCCTGGTGGGGGGGGTGAGGAAAACTGGAGAGCTGTGACTTTCTAAACCACACGTGGTGTAGAATTATAGACACTCAGTCTGACTCACCGAGGAAAGCCCCAGGAAGGGCTCATCCTGATGCACAAAGAGCCTTCCCGGGGGCTCGCTGTAATGCAACATCTCCCCAGTCTCCAGCTGGGGAGGGAAGAGCTATTGCCACAACCTCAAATGGCCTGAGCATCTCCCAAGGGGGGGGAAATTTTGGGGGGACTAGGGAAGTCCTCCCTGGTGGGGGGGGTGAGGAAAACTGGAGAGCTGTGACTTTCTAAACCACACGTGGTGTAGAATTATAGACACTCAGTCTGACTCACCGAGGAAAGCCCCAGGAAGGGAGCTGGATTTCCATCCATTCCTTTCATTTGTTACCACAGCAAAAGTAGCAAAACCATAAATCATTTCAGAAGCCCAGCGAGCGCATCAGGTTTGCAGGAGAATTTCAAGCAACTTCAGATTAGGCTGGTTATGGCATGGCAAAGGCAACCCTTCCCCCTGCCATCATATCTGTGTATGGACAAGAGAAGGGACTCCAAATAATTCAAGATAAATAAGATTAAAGCAAGGAGTTTTGATCTAAAGCTGCCCCAACAGCTTGATTTTGCTCCCTCAGCAAGTCAGTGATTTAATTAAGAATTGGCAGTTCTGATTGGAAACACACAATGTGAAGAATGCAGCCTCTCTTCTCCCCTAAATAAAAATGCCAGCATTGCCCCAGTTAATGCACAACCCTGGAAAGACACTTCAAGACATTCCTCCAGTGCATGGGCACAGTCAGGAAACTTTTTTCAGGATTAAAGTGTGTTTCTCTGGCCCTGGAGTCCCTAAGGAAAGCCCCCACTGTGGCCAATATTTCTAAGGCAGGACGGGAAATGCTTCAAAGCAGGAATCAGCTGCCACCCCAGAAAAATAACCAAACACGGGCGCAAATGATCTCCCATGAAAGCCATCTCATGTTCTGCCCCAAACACATCAGCTACACCTACTACTGGGCATCAACATGACACTTCCAGGAGGCAGAGTGATGCAGGTCACAAGCATCCCTGCGAGTCCAGGTCCTCTCGAGGCTGGAGGACGCTGGCTGCAGCAAGAAGGTCTGTGACCATGTGCCTTCAACATTTTCATCTTTCCTTAGGGAATTTGCAGCTACTTTCTTTCCAGCCCAGGACCCTGTACCAGTACCGCTATTCCCTGGATGTCCAGTTGGACTACACATCCACACCATCCCCACAGGGAGCCTGGCTGGGGGCTGAGGGGTTGGTCCAGCTGCAGCAGCTCTGGAAGGACCAAGGTGGGGAAGAGCTACTCCAGGTGCAGGTGCGTGAGGTGGTGAAGCCGTTGGAGCCAGGTACTCCTCCTGGGAGCAGGGATGCTGCCTTTCCTTACCCCCTTTCCCTTTCTAACCCAAGCCACCTGAAAAATGACCTCTGTGACCAAGAGGCCACCACCTGCAGGTAAAATGCATGGCAGCCTGAGAGCAGACATGCCCAGTCTTTCTCCCATCTTCTGCTCTCATAGATCCGTGATCTGAAAGCCCAACAACAGCCAGAAGACAGGAGCAGTCCACCAGCAGAGATTGCACTGAGCCAGAAGACACAGGCAGAGCTCCAGCAGCCGGTGTTCATCTCCTGGAGCAGTGGGAAGGTCAGCTAGACACCTCCTGGGCTTGCTCATGCAAGGGGTAGATGGTTGGACGTGATGATCCCAAGGGTCTCTTCCAACCTAGACGATTCTATGATTCTGTGCACCTCCACAGAGCACACCTGCCTGCATCCCAAATTTTCCCTGCTATGAAGCCCATACAAACTCTTGCTCCACCTCTGATTTCATATCAGAGCACAAGAAACCAGGCAGAGTGGCAAATTTAGGAATATATGGTCTCCCACAAGGTCCAGCATAACCCTAGATGGACCTCCATCCTCCAAAGGCTCAGCTGGAGCTGCAGCATCCCATGTAAGAAGGGCTTCAGTCCTAACCATAGGATATAAACTCCTTTCTGACTTCTTCCTCTAAGGTTTTGGAAAACCAGGAGAAGAAGGGCGGGGGGGGAAGGAAATTTTGTGGACATGCATCCACAAAGCTCGTGCTATTGAAGGATACTGTCCTCCTTGTGAAAAATCTTCAAGTATCTCCAGGGTGTTGCTTAGGGGCAATGCCTTTCAGCAGGGAAGACAGCAGAGAACCTCCAGAGCTGTCCTCACCATCAGACACTCTCTCTTGCTCCTGCCCAGGTCAAAGCCTTCTACGGGGATGAAACAGAAAGCATCCTGATCTCAAACCTGAAGCGAGGCATCATCAGTCTTCTCCAGCTCCAGCCCCATGCCGGCACCGCGGTGGAGGTAAGGTGCAGAGCCAGGGCCAGATCCTGTTCCAAAAGCCAGGGACCACACCAGAGCAGGAGGGATTTGCTTTGCCCAGCTCAGCTGGCAGGGGAATTCCTGCCTCCGGAGCCAAACTGATGCTGTAGTGACCTGCCAACAACATGAAATAACCTCAGAGCCCAAAAAGCAAAGGCACAAAGCTGCTGCAGCTGGCATTAGTTTCCCATGGCAAGGTGGGAAGAAGTACTGGAAGGAAGAGAGGTCCAAGAAAGCTGGTTGGTATTTCCAAGCTCAGGGATGGCATATCCCAAAAAAGAAGTCAGGCAAATAAGCCAGGAGGTCTGGAAAGCCCAAAAGCAAAAAGGAGGCCTACAGAGGGTCCCAAGGAAGCTGGTTAGTATTTCCAAGCTCAGGGATGGCGCATCCCAAAAAAGAAGTAGTAAGGCAAAAAAGCCAGGAGGTCTGGATAAGCTCAAAAGCAAAAAGGAGGTCTACAGAGGGTGGAAGCAAGGACAGGTAGGCTGGGTGGAAATCAGAGAAACTGTCCGAGTGGCCAGGAACCAGATTAGACAAGCTAAAGCCCAGATAGAATTAAATTTGGCCAGGGACATCAAGGATAAGTGTCCTTGCCCAGGGCAGCAGGGTTGGAGCTTGGTGATCTTTAAGGTCCCTTCCAACTCTTAACCATTCTATGATTTTGCAAAAGCAAATTTTCCAACCAGATGGACTTGGAGCTATTCAACACACCCAAGTATGGCCCAGTTTCTAGTTTTTTGATGATTTTTCTATTTATTAGTTTGTCCTTTGTGTCTGTTCTCTACACGGATCATTTCAGCCAGGCTCGATTGAAGCCAATCACCCTTAACCGTGGTCACTTACACTTGTGTTTCAGGAGGACATCTCCGGGAGCTGCCAAGTCACATACACCATGTCCAACCATTCCATCATGAAGGTGAAAGATCTTCTCAGCTGCACAAAGCCAAACTCCAGATTCACCTCCGTAAACAAAGTAAGTCTATTGCTCTCATGGTGGTGGGCTTAATTTATATTAAGTACATCAGGGCTGTCCCCAAAATCTTCCTGCAGGTGGGCTTTGAGTCCCACTGCCATCTGGCTTCAGGCTTCTGCACCAGCCTGGGATGGGTCTCCAGCTCTTAGACCCATACCCAAAGTGGGATGCACCAACATATCTCAGGAGGAGCATGTGGTTTTGAGGTGGGTAGGAGTAGAAAAGCCATCCGGGTCATCCCATCCCCATCCTTGTTATCACTTCTGACCTCTCTGCTAATCCTTCTTGGGAAGATGGAGACAACCTCAGACTCATCAGATTGGGGATTAGGTTGACAGGGACAGGACCAAAGATGGCTGGCTATTTCATTTAAAGCAGTAGCCCACGTTCAGCCCTGACATAAATGGATGAAACTCTGTGGGTCTTAAAAGTTATACCTGCCATGATTAAGATTGATGGTTTTTTTTAAAATATCTAATTGTACTGAATTCAACATAAAAATGAGCAACTCCACACAGAGAGCCCACAGGCTTCAGCAGGGATCTCTGCAGCCGGCAGTCAGACTCTGAATGTTCATATAATAAAAGCTTTCTGGGGCATAAATTGTGGCAAACTTACCCAAGAAAGTAACAAACCCTGCACAGCACATTTTTGGCAATAAGGTTTTCCTCCAAGGCTGCCATCTGGATTGAGGCAGCTCTCCAGACCTCGCCTGTGTCCATAGCCGTGACCACAAAATAACGATGCCACCCAGCTCTGTCAAAGGCAAAGTCTATGGATAAAAAAAAAAAAGCCTCTCTATTAAAATAATTATATTAATGTTAAGCTTGGAATCTACTGTAAAAAAACCACCGCTCGGCACATGGTTCACCTCTTCCTCATGACCTGCCATGTGCAGGCCCAGCTGCCCCAGTAACTTCTCCTGGTGTGTCCATCGCTCCCCTCACCAGGGCTGGGAGAAGAGGCAGAATCCAGCAAGTGCATTGTTTTTTTTGGAAGGAAAAAAGCCGGAGAGCTTCCCCAGGGTTCATTGCAGTGAGGAAGCTGAGCACTTTTTGACAGGAGCTCGGTGGAAATTGCTGTTGCTTAGCTTTCTCTTTCTCCTGGAGAAAGCCCTTGCTGATGCTCCTCAGCCACTGAAGGCCACACCTCTTCCCACACCATGCAGCTTCGTTGGGGCAGCTACAGAGCTAGCAGTGCCCAATGGACCTGAAGGAAGGGTGATGCTTTGGGAGGCATCTATTTCCAGTTTGCAGCCTCCAGGCATCACCCATGCCAGGCAGGAGCATCCCCCTCCTCCCTCTGCTGCCCTTTACTTCTGTGGCAGCGCCAGGGTGACACTACCTTGTAATGAAAGGGAAAGCCCACATGGTGTCACCAGCCCATCTCCCCATCATCAAGAGCTTCCCCCACGCTGTGGTCCTCCCCTGATGCTGCCTTCTCCCACACCTGGGAGGAGGTTGGGCTCTTCTGGATTTTCCTTTCCTACATTTTGCAAGCGAAGCAGGTGACTTTGTGGGTTGGAGAGGTCATTTGCTGCTGGTAGAGAGGAGGTCACACCATTTCTACTTGCTTTTTCTCTTTCAAGATTTTTGGGGTCCAGTGGCAGCCCACCAGCAGAAGCCGGTATGTGGTGAAAGACAATCTCCTCCAGTCGGTGCTGGCAGAGGAAAGCCACGTGGTGTCTCCAGCCCTGAGGTCCACCACCAGCATCAAAATCAGTTCAAGGTGCGTGATGCCCCCATGTTGATGTCCCCCCGCTGCCTGAATCATGATGAAGGTGCATCTGTAGGACTTTGTGTTGGCTGCTCTCCTGCCACCTCCTGGTGCAGGTAGCAAGGAGGACAGGTTATAGCACCTGGGCATGGCATGGAGGAAACACCAGACACCTTTTGACACCCTGCATCTCCTCTTTCTCCACACCTGCATGAACCCAACCAGTCTCTGAGCCAGGGAGGGTGTAAATTACAAGGCTCTTCCCAAAGGCTTCTTCTCTCTCCACAGGCAGCAGCTCCAGCTGGTGTCTCCTCCAATGCCCACCCCGGCTGAGGTGGCTGGAAAAAGCCTTGAGGACGTGCTGGCAGGAACAGAGAGAAAGCACCAGCCCCTGGGCATGGCCAGCCTGCCCTTCAGGAGGATCTGCACCCATTGCCCATCGGTCAGTGATGATACCCACCCCCAAAACTCGCTGCACGCTCTCCCTCTCCAAGCTGGACACCCAGGCGAGCTGGAGAATTTGGGGTTAAACCGTGGTGGTGCATTTGGAGGGGCTGGTTACCCCTGTTGAGGCAGGATGCAGCCCCAGGAGCACTGTAGAGCAGCAGCCTGACCTCTTACTTCTCCTAAATAGCATCTAACGTTGCCACCCATGGTGGGAGAACCCCTCTGTCCCCCCAGACATAGCTGTGTTTCTGTGATGGGAGGAGAAACCTGGTGCATGGCTGGCACATCCAGTTGGGTTAAACTTGTCACAGGTCTGAGGTCAGGAAACATTCCCACTGCAGGCCAAGCAGGCAAGGACAAAGAGGGGGCTATTCCTGCCTCCTCAAGTCCTCCAGGCTTCTCACCTAGGAAATCTGGATTTGCAATGACTTTCAGGCACTGGTGATGCTCAACAGGTTCTCCTCCTCTTTTCCTGGCCCGTTTCACAAATTGGGGCATTTGGGCTTCAGCACAAGCCCTCAGCATCGGGGGTAGGAAGCTGCAGTAGATGCCTGCAGCCAATTGCATGACCCACAAGGGCCCCTCCCACTCCTAAATACCTCCTGAGTATAAACATTATGCCATGATTCAGGATCCGGGGGAAAAGAGGCTAAATTCCACCTACCACCGAGGAAATCTGGAATTGCAATGACTTTCAGGCACCGGTGATGCTCAGTAGTTTCTCCTCCTCTTTTCCTGGCACGTTTCACAAATTGGGGCATTTGGGCTTCAGCACAAGCCCTCAGCATTGGGGGTAGGAAGCTGCAGTAGATGCCTGCAGCTAATTGTATGACCCCCATGGGCCCCTCCCACTCCTAAATACCTCCTGAGTATAAACATTATCCCATGATTCAGGATCGGGGGGAAAAGAGGCTAAATTCCACCTAACAAACCTCATCTTTGCAGCTGAGAGCCTACCTGAAGGCTTTTGACAGCCAGAAGGTCAAAGTGGACACCTCCAAGGCGGCAACCATGTGGCAGTTCCAGAGGTTCATCCAGATGCTCCGCAGTGCCAAGAAAAGAGACGTTCTGCAGCTGCTGAGGAGAGCACCCGAGGAGATGCTGTGAGAATCTCAGGAGCTATCTTGCCAAAATTGGCTTTCTGTGTGTGTAGAGCCCTGACATGACCCTACATTCCTGTCCCTGGCAACTAGGGTTGTTTGATGCTGGTCCATATCTGGTCCAGGCAGCTGTCCTGACCAGTTCAAATGTACTCTGATTTTTCTTAATGCCTGTTCTCTACAAACACTGCATGGCTTTGGGGGGCTTTTTTTTTGGCTGGATTTGGAGCGGAGGGAAAGGTCCAGCAAGGCTTTCTACAAATTTCATTGGAGGTCTGTTATTTACAGACCATCCGCCCACAGCCATAGCATCCACCCCTTGTCCGTGTGGGCACTAGGGCCCCTCTGCAGTGAAATATCTAGACATGGCTGAGTTCAGAGCAAGAGTCAACCTTCTAGGTGCTTTTTTAACCCATGAATTGAAGACCCTGTGAGTTTTAAAGCAAGAGGAAAGCATGGAGAAAAGAAAGGGGGATGAGGAACAGCAGAGGGTACCTCATTTCTTCTCCAGCTCTACCAGTGGGTCATGCCACTGATGACCTCCCTCTTCTTGCTCCAGCCCTTTTGTCGTGGAGGCAGCGGTGGCCGCACAGTCAGTGGCATCCTTAGCACGTAGAGCCCTGACACGACCCTACATTCCTGTCCCTGGCAACTAGGGTTGTTTGATGCTGGTCCATATCTGGTCCAGGCAGCTGTCCTGACCAGTTCAAATGTACTCTGATTTTTCTTAATGCCTGTTCTCTACAAACACTGCATGGCTTTGGGGGGCTTTTTTTTTGGCTGGATTTGGAGCGGAGGGAAAGGTCCAGCAAGGCTTTCTACAAATTTCATTGGAGGTCTGTTATTTACAGACCATCCGCTGTGTGTAGAGCCCTGACATGACCCTACATTCCTGTCCCTGGCAACTAGGGTTGTTTGATGCTGGTCCATATCTGGTCCAGGCAGCTGTCCTGACCAGTTCAAATGTACTCTGATTTTTCTTAATGCCTGTTCTCTACAAACACTGCATGGCTTTGGGGGGCTTTTTTTTTGGCTGGATTTGGAGCGGAGGGAAAGGTCCAGCAAGGCTTTCTACAAATTTCATTGGAGGTCTGTTATTTACAGACCATCCACCCATGGCCGTAGCTCCACCCCTTGTCCGTGTGGGCACTAGGGCCCCTCTGCAGTGAAATATCTAGACATGGCTGAGTTCAGAGCAAGAGTCAACCTTCTAGGTGCTTTTTTAACCCATGAATTGAAGACCCTGTGAGTTTTAAAGCAAGAGGAAAGCATGGAGAAAAGAAAGGGGGATGAGGAACAGCAGAGGGTACCTCATTTCTTCTCCAGCTCTACCAGTGGGTCATGCCACTGATGACCTCCCTCTTCTTGCTCCAGCCCTTTTGTCGTGGAGGCAGCGGTGGCCGCACAGTCAGTGGCATCCTTGGCAGCTCTCTCAGACTTTCTGGATTTTGGCAAGGAACCCAAGTCCCTGCTGGAGAAGTTTCTCTACGCAGCAGCTTTCTCTCCCCGGCCTTCAGGAGAGCTTCTCCACCTGGTGTTAGTAAGTACAGACATTTGTCTCCCTCCCTGAGCTCAGGATGGATCCTCAACCCATTTCAGCCAGGAGGGAACAACGAGCGTATTTTCCTGAAAAAGGAAAAAATGTTTCTGTAGAAATAGATCTTCCTGCTTATGGGATTATTTTATGTGCCTTTAATGGGAGACTGGCGATGGGAGTAGATGCTCCTCAGAGAAAAAGCGTTCAGCAGAAAGTGCTTTATGTCAGTGCACTGCAGATAATAAAAGCTCAATTAAAAGCCACTGTGAAAAATCAGCATTTTATCCAATTAAATTATGCATGGCCTCCTTCAAGGCAGGTAAGAACTCATTTTTCCTTACTTTTTTGGTGAACGCTTTGAGATAATAGGTAAAACACACTCCTACTCTGTCTTTTACCCTTTTTTTTTTTTTCCCCATTTCCTAATACCCCTCTCTCCTGGTGCCCAGGACAAGCTGGATGGGAAGCAGCTGGCCCCTGAAGTCTGGGAGACAGGGATAGTTGCCGTGGGCTCTCTGGTGGGCAAGCTGTGCCAGCAGAAGCTGTGTGGGCTGCAGGTGGGTACTCTGCAGCCTTTAGGCTTTTTTGGACCCTCCTTCCTCCTCCCAAAATGTCTCCTGTCCCTCCTCTCATTCTCCTTTGCTTCTGCCCTCCTGCAAACTCCAAGCAGGAGGTGGAGCGTGGGGTGGAAACCATCCTTGGGGGGCTCAGAGAGGCCAAGGAGGAGTCCGAGATGGTCATTTACCTGCTGGCCCTGGGGAACGCAGTGCTCCCCGAAACCATCCCCACCATCCTGGACTATGCTGAGGAGGGTCCTGCCACCGTTGCCACCGTGGCCATTTCTGCCCTGCGGCGATTCCCTGCTCAGCACATCTCCGACAAGGTAAGAAATGAAGCTGCCGAGGCTTGGTGCTTCTCTTCCCACTCAAAGCCAAACCATCAGGGCCTAGAGCCACCATTTGCACATCACCACCCTTTTCATTGCACTCTTTACCTCAGGTGAAGCGAGCCATGAGGAGGATTTTCCACGAGAAGAGGAAGAGCTATGAAAAAACCTGTCGCTTGGCTGCTGCAGAAGTGCTCCTAGATAACGAGCCCTCACCCATGGATGTCATCAACATCCTGCTGGCCACCAAGGAGCTGGAGACAGAGACGGCCACGTTTCTGCTGCTGAAGGTCCAGAACAGCCTTCATGCTGACCACCACCCCGCAAGGTGGGTCTGGAGGGGACAGTTGTATTTTTCCCACCCTAGCTCTGCATCACATTTTTCTCCTCCTCCCCATTCTGGCTGTGGCTTTTTGACCCAGCGTGCCAGCATCACCTCTTGGAGCTGCCTGGAAATTCCCCATCCCTGGAGGGGTTCAAGGCCAGGCTGGATGGGGCTTGGAGCAACCTGGTCTGGTGGGAGGTGTCCCTGCCCAGGGCAGGGTTGCTGGAACTGGATGACCTTTAAGGTCCCTTCCAACTCTAACTATTCTATGATAGGGTGAAATTCCCAGCTGCAGGAGGAGGAAAAGAGCAGGGACCTTCATCTGCTCATGCAGATGCCACCCAGCCAGCCCAAACCTGGCATCCTTCCTCATCATGCCCCTTGGCAGCAGGACCCAGGCTCGTGGCTTTGGCAGAGACCTTGGAGGCCAAAGCTCTGGCTGGTGGGGCAGGGCAGCGCACAACTTGTAACTGCATTAATCTCCCTATCAGCACAAAACAAAACAAGCACTAACATCTTTCAGACCTAAGCAAAAGCTGTGCAAAAGTATCTGACTGGTTCACCCTAACACATCGGAGGAGAGGGAAATCCCCGGGTAGCTCATGTCTGCTCGTTTCCTTTTTTTTTTCCTCACACTTCTTTGGGCAACGGAGAGAAACAGTTTGGAAATTTGAATTTCCTTCTTTGTACGGCTTTCTGTAACAGCCACTGACATTTTCACAGAATCCCAGAATGGTAGGGGTTGGAAGGGACCTTCAGAGATCATCTAGTCCAACCCCCCTACCAAAGCAGATCTACCCAGAGCAGGTTGCACAGGAACATGTCCAGGTGGGGTTTGAATGTCTCCAGAGAAGGAGACTCCACCACCTCTCTGGGCAGCCTCTGCCAGGGCTCTGCCACCCTCAAAGTAAAGAAGTTTTTTCCTCATGTTCAGAGGAGTTTCCCTTCCTTCCTTCCTGGTGTTGACATACCCTTTCCCTCTTGCTTCCAGGAAGATACTGAAAGACATCATGAGAGACCCACGGATAAATAATTACAACTTCTTCTCGAAAGCCGGCATCTCCTCTTCTTTCTCAGGACCTCTGACAGGTGACATCACAGAGGACACTCATCCCATGGTCCCTTCAAACAGCTAAAGGAGGGGGCTGGTGGGGAAAGACAGCCTTCACAAGAGACCTTAGCTTTATAGAAGTGCCCCAAAATCTCAGTGTGAGGTTTCTGAGCATGTCCCTCTGGCTAGTTGCCATCACCTGAGATACATATACCTTTCTCTGACACCCCAACAGCAGGAGGCCACATACTTTTCCCAAATCCTGCTAATTTGAAAGAGGGACTTCAGTTGGAGATGAAACTAATGGTAAACCACAGGTGGGATTTTCTATGGTTTTCCTGATAAGTCAAGATGTTTAGCTCCGTTCCTTCAGTTCCTCGGGTATTTTTAATATGCTCTTCGAAGGTGAGAATCCTTGTACTGAGATAAAAATAGTCAAACTTCAGAAAGACTGCAACAAATGGCACTTGCTAAATATCTGCTTAAATCCTGCCCCTCAGTTTGCATTTCTGTCCCTCTACAAATTAACTTGCTCTAACCTTGTGGAGAGTAGGTGGAGGCAAGATAGTCAATGCCTGGAAGAAAACTATTGCAATATTAAATCCTTTGATTATTGCCAGAATGGAAGGAGGTGGTGCAGAGAAGCTTTTCCCTCTGAATCAATTAGCTGTACCAGATATTTGCTGGCTAACACATGAGATGAGTGCAGGTCAGCCACCCTGACCATGGATGGGACGGCCCTACAGGACTAGCCATATTGAGGAGGCTTTCAAATTACCAAGGAGCTCTCAGGTTCCTGCCTTTAGATGTACCCAGTGACCTCCCAGTTCCCTCAATCAATTTGGACAAGCTATTTTAAGAAACCACTCCATCCTGCTGAGTGCTGACTTGGTGGCACCAGGCACAGGAGATGGACTTGCCGGGATCCCACCTACCGGCTCTGTTTTCTTCTCTCTCAGCCTTCATCCCCTGCTGCTGCTCTCAGAGCATTTATTGGTTGACCACCACCATTCAGTGACTCATTCACAAGAAGAGATGTGCCAGCTGCTGCCTGGGGATGCTTACAGGTGTCTCTCTGCCTTTCAGTCACCCAGGACCTGCTTTCCACCTTCGGGCTGGACCTGCTGTTTTTGGAGGGTGGATTCCTGAGGAAGAGCGTCTCTGACTTCTCGCTGCTCAGTCAGGGCCAGCAGCTTCGTGCTGTTCAGGTGTGCTGCTGGGAGACTGGTTGGGGAAAAATATACATGGAGAGGGGTGATAGCACCAACCCAGTGGTGCAACTCCTCCGTCTGTGTCCCCTCTTAACATCCTTATGCTGCTTGACCTCACCTTCTGCACTGTGTGCCCTATATCAGAAATACAGAAATGCACACCCTCCATCACCAATGTGAAGCCAGATGGATCTGCTCTAGAGAAGGGAGTCCCCTGCTCCCCAAAATCCAAGGGATGCAACACCACTACTGCACAGTGCTCAGGGATAACTTGGATGCCCCATCCAGCCCACTACATCACTGTCCTTCTTCAAAGGCTGCCTATCCAAGGGCTGGACAAGGGTAGCAATTCAGATAGCACTGTGGAGCATGAAATAGACTCTCCAGCTTTGCTCCATGCAGCTTGCATGTCTCCACTTCTTGTGTTTTAGGTCACTATTGAAGCACAAGGGATGGAGTCCATGCTGGGAGAAAACGTCTTGGAAGGGGAAGAGGAGCCAGAGCTCATGGCCGGGATGTCTGCTGTCTTCTTCGATGTTCAGTTGCGGCCGATCGTCTTCTTCCAGGGATACACAGACTTAATGGCCAAGGTCCTGTTAAGCAGTGGAGAACCCACAAGTGTGGTCAAAGGGAACTTCCTGTTGATGGACCATCACCAGGTACTGGATGGGGGGGTGACCTGCCTCCACACCAAACCCTAATGAATGCCATAGCACGAGCTGGTGCATGGTCAAAGGGAACTTCCTATTGATGGACCATCACCAGGTACTGGATGTGGGGGTGACCTGCCTCCACACCAAACGCTAACGAATGCCATAGCACGCGCTGGTGGATTTTAGGTATGTTAGTGCAGATTTAGTGCAGATACAGGTCTAAGAGCAAGGTGGCACTGTCAGATATCTCTTGGGGTTGGTAAAATAGCAGGATGGCTGGCTCTGCCATGGGACACACATGGTTCAAGTGGCCCCCATGCAAACCCAGTTGTGGGGTTGGGATGGGCAGCCCCAGCAGCCATGCATTACTGCAGCAGCTCAGCCAGGAGCAGTGTCTGCTCACAGCAAGTTCTGCCTTCTCCATCTTCCAGGTCATTCCTCTGCAGTCTGGCCTCCAAGTGGCCTTCAAACTCCAGGGTGGGCTGGGCCTTGACATTTCAGCCAACATGGACGTGAGCGTTTGGGAGCAGGAGCTGAAAACCAGCATCAATACGAGGTCAGCAGGGGGGAAGCTTGGGGTATTTAGGGGACTCAGCACAAGGGATGCTCCATCTTAGCCCCCTGCTGTCCTCCTGCCGTGTCCAGCCCTTCCTTATGGATGCTTTGGGTAGAAGCTGGTTACACACAGCCAGACCTAAAATTAAGAGGCTCTTGGGGTTGTGTTTGATGCCAGTGCATGGTGCCCAGCACAGGGCCATTGCTCGGTGATGGACCCACGTGTTTCTCTCTCACAGGGGAAGCCTCACCATTGATTTCCAGGCAGAACTAGATGCCCCTTTCCTCCAAGCCACCCTGAGAAGCCAGATGGAGGCGGAGGCCTCAATCCACTTTGACACCATGCTGAGGTTTTCTGGCAGCCCAGTGCTCATGTGCCTGCAGCTGAGAGAGGAGCAGGTCCCATACAGGTAGTCTCTAGATCCAGCCAGATACTGTAGAAACATCATGACATGCTTGAGATAAAGGAGGACTTGCTGGGGAGAGGAGGGAATTAATGGGTGTACACTTACTGAGTAGGGTGGGTCAAAACTGGTAGGGGTTGGGGAAGGACACTGCAAGTTTCTAGATGACATGGGTGGAAGCACCATGCCTAGACCATCAGAAGATGGTGAGTATGCTGGTCTGGGAGGAGGCTGAGGTCCACCACCACCACAACCTCTTGACCATATTTCTGTCACCTTGTCCCACAGAGAAATTTTCACAGTTTCCAAGTCTGCTGGGAGCCAGAGCAGCACCACTCGAAAAGGCAGGCAGGGCACCATGCCCGGGCGGGAGTTTGCCTTGCACAGGGCCAACTCCAAGGTCTGCAGCCTCCTGCTGACGGCAGAAGAATAGGGGAGTCAGAACACTTTGGGACTGGACAGTCACCCCCTCTCCTGCCACACACCCCTGTTCTCTGCGAACCCAACCTGAACGGTCAAAGTCTCTGCCCAGTTCCTCCATAACCGTCTTTTAATAAGGAAAAAATGCTGCAACAAGGGCATCAGAAGAGACCACAAGAGGAACTGCTGCAGGACAGCCCAGAGGCACCCCTTGCTTGGGGCTGGAGAAGCCAAGTCTGCCCTCCCAACCCCAAAGGCTGAGATTTGCCCTGCCTGAACTCTTCCCCTTGGTGGGGAAGGGCTTGCTGGAAGCCAAATCTGGTCCTTGTGGAAAAACAGCCATCTTTTGCAAGTGAATGAGCTCCTCAGAGCCCAAGAAACCCTTCTGCAAGCCTATACCCAAAAATGCCGTGTTTTCTCCCCATTTATCAAAGCAGTCAGGAAGGAGCACATCTGTTTCCAGCAGGGAGGAGGTTCCCCACAGAGGGAGTGAACTACTCCCCTTAAATGCAGTTTTGTGGCCACCAGAAGAGTCCAAGAATATGAACAAAACTTATTTCTGAAGGAGGTGTGGGCTCTTAAAATTATTTTTTAAATGCAACCACAGAGACATTGACCCCAGAACAATCCCTCAGGGGGAAAGGCAGAGAAGCAAGACAAAATGCTGCACAACCTGTTGCCAGTTATTGTGTGTTCTTTCTGGATTAATTGAAGATATTTGCATTTATTTGCATACGAAGGCAACTCAGCTCCCTCACAGCATCCTCTTGCTCTCCGGGGAGGAATTTGCACTCTGTTGCCAGGGATGAGACTGGTGCCACATCAGGCAATAAAGGTTTGAGGACCGTTATTGGGTATGAAACCAATACAGCCTGTATTTCAGTGAGATCAGATTCACACTCGGGGCAAAATAAAAAATAAAAAGGATCAAGACAGAAGAAAGAGGCCCATAAAGTCTCACAGCATCCTCTTGCTCTCCAGGGGGGGAGGAATTTGCACTCTGTTGCCAGGGATGAGGCTGGTGCCACATCAGGCAATAAAGGTTTGAGGACCGTTATTGGGTATGAAACCAATACAGCCTGTATTTCAGTGAGATCAGATTCACACTCGGGGCAAAATAAAAAATAAAAAGGATCAAGACAGAAGAAAGAGGCCCATAAAGCTTTCCCAAAAACTGGATAAGCAAAAGCAAAGTTAAAACCGAACAGGGGAGAGCACAGCAAACTGCAAGAGACCCTTCTAAAGAGCATGGACCAGCAGTCTCAATCCCCATCTTGAAAGACAGAGCTTCAAAATGTGGAAAAAATGCTGGAGACCCTCTAGCTGCTGGGGGAGGCTGGAAGGAGATGGGGGAACTCAAGCAGTGACTGGCTGAAGGAAAATGGGAAGAGACATTGGTGTCTCCAAGGCATGAAAGCATCACAGCTCTGCAGATCCCACCATAATGCTGATCCTCACCTTCTGCTTCCTGCTCTTGAATTTTTCCGCATGTTTTTTCCCCCCTCTGAGATAGGCAGCGTTGTGAGAATCATCTGAGGTCATAAAATACACCTTGTAATTTAAAAGCCACAAGAACACAAGCATTTTAGTGTCTGCAAAGAGTGGATTAAAGGGGGGTTTTGAGATTATCAACCACAGAGGACCACAGAGCTGGATCTGAAGTCAGCAATGCTGAGCTGGGCAATCAGGTGATTTGGAAGATGCTCAGCCCATGGGTATTTATTCTTTTAACAAGTCATGGGTGGTTTCAGTCCATTTTAAGGGGCAAAAGCAAATTCTGGTTGCCATGGAAGGCAAAAGACCATGTTTGACTAACGTGGTCCTTTCTGGACTCGGAAATCTATCACAGGAAGAGTTTGGACAAGTGTTACAAAGCTGTTAACTACAGATTATCATCCTTCAGGGCAGACGTTATTCAACCCAAACTGGAAAAGTGCTGGGGTACACCTCCAGCCTACCCCCTTCCTCCTCTTTGGAGAAGCCAGCTAGATGTGCCTTTTGCTGGTGCATGCAGGTTCAAAACCCATCTATTGAGACGTGGCTTCTGCCTAGAGCCTCTCATCTTCCTTTTAGGTCCAAAGTTTACATATTAATGGAGAAGCCTCTGGCCTCTCTTATCAACTGAATGGCAGTTCCCTCTGTCTCTTTTAATCGAGGCAACAGATGGAGATAAGATTGCCTCAACCCTACATGCAGGAAGGCAGTGTTCCAGCAACAAAGAGATACAACAGCTTCCCTTTTCTGCTGATATTTGGGCTCTTTTGGTGACCATTTGTGAAAATTACAATTAACTTCAAGTAAATATTGTTCTTCTGTTTTGCATTCTCCTCTCAAGTTGGATTGTTATCAGCCACAACCACCAAACACCTCTCCAGTGCTGGAGGGAGGCTCGCAAGGAAAAAGCAGTATTTCTTCATTCCTTCCTGATAAGAATGTGCCTTTGAAATATTTTTCTGTATGAGAAAAATGTACTTTTTAGGAAGAAAAGGTACATTGAGTTGTTGGGTTTTTTTTTAAATTATGGGCCTGACAACATAGCACCGAGTGTCTTGGTTTGGGAGGATAAAACTTGTCTGGTTTTCCAACTAGAGACACTAATTATGAGTGCTTTGGTTATGTACAGAAATAAATGCTGTGTATTTTTATATTTTCTCTGTTCGACTCTTAACTTTTCTGGATACACAGCTGGGAAGAGGAGAGAGGCAGAGAGCAGCTCCCATAGCACAGGCACTCCCAGCAAGAAGAGCCTGGCCAAAGTCACCTTTAAATAAAGTCACACTCCCAAGGGACCTGCTTTCTAGGTCCGTATTTAGGGTATCCCAGAGATGCACTTAGCTAAAATGCACCATCAGGCCTGTAAGATGGGGACACAAAGGCCACCTCTGCTCCCAGAAACCCCAAAAGCACCATTAGGGATTATGGCAGCCCCTCGACAGGGTTCCCATGGGGCTGAAGACACTCTTATCCCTCTCCTGCCAACTTCTGCAGAGGTATTGGAGGCCATCCAAGACTCCACTTAAAAATCAGGGCTTCCCCTGCATCAAGGCTCTGCTGATTACACAGCAGTCTCGCTCAGAGTTGGCCCCAAGGACACAGAGGATAATTGCCCTGGGACTTGCCCTCAGATCCTGAACAGGAGGATCACTGTGTGACCGCAGGAGGAGGGAGCCCATATTGCCCTTGATGTGTTGCTCAGCTTTCTGCAGAGCAGCTGATAGCAGCTCCGAGTCCCACTAGCTCCCCAGCTTCACCCTTTCCCTGCGGAGCATCCCACCATTTCCCATTTCTCCTGTCTCACCGCCGGGATTTGGGCTGACTCAGGCTCTTTTACACGCTGAGGAGTTGCTCTAACCTCTGTTGGCATGCACCACCCCTGTCACCACCTTTCCCATGGGTCTGCACAGCCCTGAGTTCCCATCCAAAACCATGCTGCTCTGCCAGAGGTTTTTTTTTGGATCCAAATAGTCCTCAAAGCTTTCTCAGCCTCAATGTTTGCTCCTCAACCAAAGCCAGGAGGCACCACCTGCCCATTCAGGACCTTTTACATCAACCTCTTTCCCCCTTCTCCAAAGAAGTTTTAGAGAGGAAGACCTATCATTCAGCCAAGGTTTGCATTGCACAAGCTAAATCAGAAAATGCCCAAATCCCTTGGGGCAGGGAGAAGATAACATTGCTGGTGGGTGAGCTCTTACAGCAGATCACTTTTGCCCTAAACAAATACGTGAGATTTGCTGATTACCTGCACATGAGGGGACATCAGTGTTCAGGAGGCGTGGAAACCCCAAAAGATTTTAGTCCAGGTTTTACTTAGATGCTGAGCAACAGCGTTACCCTCAATCAGTCAAACTTCTAGTCCTGAAAGATGATCCTTGTCCTGCCAGAGGGGCCAGGAGCTACAGCTGGGGCTGGAAACGTGTGTCCAGCCCCCTTGGAACTGGTGAGGAGATTTCAATGGGGATTTTAGCAGTTTTCTTTCCTACTGGAAGCTTTGATCTGCTGAGCCAGTGAACCCTAAAGTTTCCCAGGTCCCTGCTAGAGACTTTTCCCCCCCCAAGTTCTAATTGGATGCTCAAACAGCAAAAGAGCGTGAAGAGACATGGGCATTTCTGTAAGATGACCTGTTTCTTTGACAATGGCTCCAAACCCTCCAGGACCTTCCAGCCCCAAACCTCCCAAAGTGCTGAAGTGCAGCACCACGGGCTCCAAAGATGATGGAGGGATTGGAGCATCTCCCTGATGAAGAAAGGCTGAGAGAGCTGGGACTCTTTAGCCTGGAGAAGAGAAGGCTGAGGGGAGACCTTATTAATGCTGGCAAGGATCTCAAGGGTGGGTTGAAGGAGGATGGAGCCGGACTCTTCTCAGTGGTTCCCAGTGACAGGACGAGGGGCAACGGGCACAAGCTGGACCATGGGAAGTTCCACTCCAATGTGAGGAAGAACTTCTTTGGGGTGAGGGTGGCAGAGCCCTGGAAGAGGCTGCCCAGGGAGGGTGTGGAGTCCCCTTCTCTGGAGATCTTCAAGCCCCACCTGGATGCTCCTGAGTGATGTGCTCTGGGCAACCCTGCTTTGGCAGGAGAGTTGGACTGGATGATCTCTAGAAGGTCCCTTCCAGCTCTGACAATTCCGTGCTGCTAAAATTCTGCCTTTGCCTCCCAAAACACCGGTTTCAGCCTTTGCACTTCACATTTGGCAGAGCTGTTTGCTTGAGAGATGTAGGATCCAGCCCCGAGTTGCACCAGGGGAGGTTTAGATTGAATATTAGGAAAAATTTCTTCACTGAAAGGGTTGTCAAGCCTTGGAACAGGCTGCCCAGGGAAGTGGTGGAGTCACCATCCCTGGAGGTATTTAAAAGACACGTAGATGTGGTGCTGAGGGACACAGTTTAGTGGTAACTTGGCAGTGCCAGGTTAACAGTTGGACTTGATAATCTTAAAGGTCTCTTCCAAGCAAAATTTTTGGTTGGATTTGCTATGATTCTGCATTCCCTGGGCCAGCATGCCTCCCAGGAGGTCCTACACTGAGCTGAGCAATCGGAAACGATGGGTCCCCAAAGAGTCCTTGCATCCAGCAGCAGGGGACAGGGGAGGGTTGGGGGTGCCAGATCTTATTCCTAGGGGAAGTCCTACGTGCCAGCAGCCCCAGGGATCCTGCAGGAGGTGAAGAGGCAGAGAAGCCCAGATCCAGCCCCTGGGAGCCCTGGCTCCTACCAACCTCTGCAGAAGTGGCTTTGCCTGTGGAGCTGCAGATCAGCAGTGACCTCCAGCGGCTGCAGCCAAACCTGGTGGAGATGTCAGGCACAAATTCTCTGCCACAGCCACGCCAGGCATGTGGGGAGGGCACCCTGCACCCAGGGGCATCCCACAACCAGCATCCAAAATCGTGAGACCTTCGCATCAACTGGCAATGGATCAGGGCTGACCCATGGCAGCCCCTCACCGCTCCAAGCTGGGACCTCATGTGGAAAAACCATCCTCTCCTGACCTCCGAGCTTGCCATCACAAGCAATGTTTGATATTTTCTTTTTTTTCCTCCCCCTTCTAAGTCACTCTATTCCCAGGACATCTCGTACAGCCCTTAAGAGAGAGCATGTGGACACCGCTCACCAAATGGGGCGATAAAACTTTATCTGCCTGTCCAGTACAGCTTTCTGTAGAGACAAAACATGAGAAAGTATGCACAAAAGCGAGGGGAATGTGTGTGAGAGGATACACCACCAGCGGGGACCGCCTCTCCCAAGCAGCTAGCGGAGGTGCACCTTTAAAGCACTGGGGTAGATCTCTTCTCATCCACTGCTCTCTCCTCCCTAGGCAGCTTGCAAAAAAAGGGATTATGTTTTCCAACTGCTGGGCCCCAACGACTCCCCACACCCCGCGAAAAATCCAGAAAAAGGGGTTTGCAACTCACCACAAGCAGCAGCATCAACCCCAGCACTGAAGAGAGAGCTCTGGCAATAGCAAATCTCCCCCAGAGCTCCAGTTAACCTCCCAAGCCCCTCTGCAAAGCTTGCAGCTGCTTTGGACCATGCACATCACATCTACAAGCACATACCTGAGTGCCACCACCTAAGAAGTCATCCCAGAGTAGACCACATACAAGCAGAGGAGCATCCCAGAAGCCACAGCTGGCAAGGGATTGCTTTTATAACCTGCCCAGCAATCAGGAATGGAGGGAGAAAGCTGTGAAGCTGCAATAGGGCACAGCTGTGCAAGCCAGAGTGGCTGTGCCATGAGGTTATCCCTGCAGGAAACGCAGAGGAGGAAAAACACAGGGCCAGGCTCTGGTGAGTCAAGCAAGAGAGCCTGGGAACTGGCTGAGCTGAGCCAGTGAGTCCCCAGGACTGGGATAAAACCCGTGAGAAAAAAAAAAAGCTGAAGTTTTCCTAGGAAACTGCTCCCCCTACTCCATCCCTGAGAGCATGAGAGTGAATAACTGGACTTAACTCCATGTGACAACAGTCATTTCCTACCACTGCTTCTCCTGCTTGCTCAATTACTCTCCGCCGCAGTTATTCTGCCATACCCAAAAGCTGTCTGCAGGCTCTTGCCACTCCACTCCTAATAATACACATATTAAAGCAACATGCACTACTGTATAGGTTCACCAGATTGTCCCCATCACCCCTGTGACAGCTGCCAGGGTACCGGGGTCTGCATGGCAGCCACAGAAGGACTGTTCCCATCCTACAGACCAACCCACTGACCATAACCACCCCAGATTGCAAGCCTTGAAGTCTCGTCTATCCCTTTTAAAGCCCCAAATGCCCCTTGGCCTCCTTGCCCAAACATTTTGGCAGTTCCAACCTCAGAGACGGAAGGTGAAGTGAGCTGTAGTGATGCTAAGCGAAAGAGAAGCATCCAACTCCTTGGGTACATACCATGGGAAGAACCTTTCCATGGTAAAAATCAAGTGGGATTTCCAAAGCACTTTAAAAGACAGGTGTCACAAAGGGCCAGAGGAATACAGTGTGGCTGCATTTTAAGGCCTGACCTAGTTGGGTTTGTGTCTAACCTTTTTAGAGGGGCCATTGAAAACACAAGGAAAGGACTGAATAACTTCATGGCAAAAGATGTGGTGGTCCCACCATCACCATGAGCAACAGAGGTCTGCAGGGGACAACTGGGAGGGAGTACAGTAGGAAGGAGGAAAATAAGGAGTTACTTGAGGAGGTAACAGCAGCAGCAGTTACCACCATAACTTCTATCAAGTTTTCATAGGAAGAAGCACCATCTCCAGCTTTATTCCTGGGACACCCATGAAGTGTCCCACCTCAGCCATGCCCTGGGGACACATTCCTTCACAGCTGCCTGCCTGGGGCTGCTCATTCAGAGGGAAGCATGGCCTTTCCCTCCCGCCCCTCCTCTAGCTTCCCTCGTCCTTGAGTACTCCTTATTCCCAGCTCCTATCTGGCAGCGTGGTCCTATCACCAGGTCCCGTCCTTCAGGCTGGATATAAAGGGGTGCTGGGATGCCATGTGGTCCTGGAGGTCACCCTGCTCCTGTGCCATGCTGCCAGCCACCCTCAAGCTCTGCTGTGGCATCGCCCATGACCATCTCCGCCGCCTGCCCGGTAAGGCACCACTCGCTTCCCCCCATCCCCACATCTTGGGATAAAACAGCAGAAAAGAGGGGTCCTAAAGGAGATAGATGCTAAGTCTGCATCTGATGGGCATCTCCTTGGGAGGTGCTCCCTTGGAAGTGCGCCTGTTTTCCCTCCCATGTCTTGGTCTTGGCTGCAAGATCTGCATCTGATGGGCATCTCCTTGGGAGGTGCTCCCTTGGAAATGTGCCTGTTTTCCCTCCCACATCTTGGTCTTGGCTGCAAGATGTGGGGTCAGGTTTTCCCTCCCATGTCTTGGTCTTGGCTGCAAGATCTGCATCTGATGGGCATCTCCTTGGGAGGTGCTCCCTTGGAAATGCGCCTATTTTCCCTCCTATGTCTTGGTCTTGGCTGCAAGATGTGGGGTCAGCAGAGCCAGAGATCCCAGCAGAGATGTGGGGCCCCATGGCATCTTCCTCCCTTGCTCCCCAAAACCCACACATTTCTCCCCTAGGCTTGAAGATAACGGCCATTGCGGCGATACAGAAGGACGTGAGAGGATCCCATCGCCTGCCTTCCAAAATCCCTCAGTATATTCAGAGGCTGATGGGGAAGGAGATAGGTAAGCTCAGCCCAGGCACTTGGGTACCACCACGTTTCCCAGCCCTGCTCACAACCCCCTTGAAAAAAAAAGGGATGGAGGGGTGGGTATCGAAACGCACCCCTCTCCACATGATTTGGCCCTTAGTTTGTGGGACGGAATTAATTGTCTTCTCACTGGGGTGGTCTCCAGCTCTCTGGTAGCTTAAAAGCACCTGCTCACAACCCCCTTGAAAAAAAAAGGGATGGAGGGGTGGGTATCGAAACGCACCCCTCTCCACATGATTTGGCCCTTAGTTTGTGGGATGGAATTAATTGTCTTATCACTTCTGGGCTGGTCTCCAGCTCTCTGGTAGCTTAAAAGCATTCTTCCCCCTGCCCCGTACTGGTGTAAAATTGAATTAGCGGGGAGACTCTGAGATTGAGGGAAGGTAAATTGCATTAGCTCACCGTAGAGGCAGCCAAAGCTTTCAGCAGAGGTTATGGTCACTTATCAGCCCTTTGTTGCATGTCTCCCATGTCTCTAGTTCCGCCACTTACCTAAAGTCTTGAAAATTGGCAAATTAATCTGCTTTTTTTCGAAGCGTGGCTTAGTCTAAAAGGCTGCCTGTGCAGTGTTAATAACACCCAAGCAACGTGCAATTTGTACCACCGTGTTGCTGGGAATTGATTTGGAAAGCAATTTCCAAAAGCTTTTCAAGCCGCCAGCACAGGCACAGAAAACGAAGGCCAGAGATGCTCCTGAGAGCAGGATTTTCTGCCTGGTACAAGCTGAGATTTTTGGGTCAACAAAACCCAAAGCTCCAGCTCCGTTTCCACATGTGCAGGCAGAGCTGGGTGGGGGGACACACACAGGATGGATTTGTCACATTACTCTGCCTTGCTCCTCCAGCCACACGCTCAGAACCTGATGGAGACATCAGCCCCAGCCAGCTCTCCAGCCTGGACCTCTCCTACATCACCCAGGGAGAAATGGCCCTGCAGGGAGCCCTAAGCATCCTCCAGCAGCACAGCGGCTGGCAGGCAGAAACCACGCTGGTAAAGCCCCTCACCTTTGCTGCTGGGTGCCAGAAAAGCCCTCGGGAGGAGAAATGAGTCTGGGGAGGGGAGATTTGCTTCTCTGATTCCTCCTGCCCCCACGGGCGCAGGAGATGCGCCGTGCAAAAAGCAGGCACAGCAAAGAGGGTTTCCAAGAAAGCCTTCCCTAAGCACGTTAATCCACAAGGTAAATAGAGAGCAGGAGGAGGCTTGGAAGGAGAAACTCAGATAACCATGTTCCTGGGGAAAGCCAGGAGCATTTCTGCAGGGAAACCCAACAGATTGTGACGTTGTTGTTATTTACGGTGTTTGGGATGATTTATTAGCAAGGCATTTAATGACAGAACGAGGGAACGGCTTCAAGCTCCAACAGGGTAGGTTTAGACTGAACATTAGGAAGGAATTTTTCACTGAAAGAGTGGTCAGACACTGGAATAGGCTGCCCAGGGAGGTGGTTGAGTCACCATCCCTGGATGTGTTTAAGGGACGTTTAGATGGGGTACTGAGGGATATGGTGTAGGGGAGAACTTTGTAGAGTAGGGTAGATGGTTGGACTCGATGATCCCAAGGGTCTCTTCCAACCTGAACGATTCTATGATTTCAATGGGTACCTGATGAGGTATCTGGGGTTGATCAAGCTCTCTCTTCCCCCAGGACTCGGGGGCCACCGTGGCCAGTGCCACCCTCCCCAGGCTGGGCAAGGTGTTTCGGGCAGAGGTGGTCCTGGCCGTGCCGGTGGCCCAGCTGCACCAGGAGCTCAATGGGTACCTGATGAGGTATCTGGGGTTGATCAAGCTCTCTCTTCTCCCAAGGACTCCGGTGCCACCGTGGCCAGTGCCACCCTCCCAGGGCTGGGCAAGGTGTTTCGGGCAGAGGTGGTCCTGGCCGTGCCGGTGGCCCAGCTGCACCAGGAGCTGTTTGAGAGGATTGAGGAAATGCCCCAGTGGAACCCAACCCTCAGCCGGGTGAAGGTAAGGTGGAGAGGGATGCAGCGCAGGCAGACAGCATCACCAGGGTTGCTAGCATCCAAAAAAAAAAAAAAAACAAACCAAAAAAATCATATTTACCAAGGC